GAGGGATAGAACCAGGAGGATAGGGGCTCAGGCCCTGGCCGGGTGTAGAGTCAGGGAAGGCAACTTTGTTTCTTTCATTGAATTTATTGGGATGATAATTGGTTCACAAAACCATACGGGTTTCAAGTGAACAACTCAAAACATCATCTGTAGGCTGCATCGTGTGCCCATCACCCTAAGCAAAGTCTCTTTTCGTCCCCTCCCCTCAATTTGCTCACCTCTACCTACCCCTCACCTGCTTTCCAGGAGGGCTACTTTTGAATCTTAGCTGTCACTTTGTTTTCCTGACCTACGTTGCTTCACCTTTGGAGACTGGAGAGTTTGCCGTGCATATTTTAGTGATAATATTTTAATGATATATACAACAGTTTAAAACTCCCCATTTTGTGTAAGTATAGTTCTAGAGGTATAATGTTCTGAATAAATTACTTAAACTTTGTGAAACCTGGTTGTGGCTGATACTCAGTAAATTAGTGGTTCTCAACCTCGGCTGCACGTTAGAATCACCTGGGAATCTTTTAAAAATCCTGATTTCTGAGCCTCATCCTACAAAGAAACAGAATTTCCGGAGGATGAGGCCCAGAAATCAGGATTTTTAAAAGATTCCCAGGTGATTCTAACGTGCAGCCGAGGTTGAGAACCACTGCAGTAAATGGAAATCGGTTGTAGTCCAAAAGTTTGTGCTCAAGGTGGCGCTGTTTCCCCATACATTTGGTGATGTTTTGCATTGTATCCCTATGAGTTCTAAGTCAAGCAAATAACTATATATTTAGGACTGTGTTTGTCTTTTATAGTCTCCAGGCCTTCTTTCCTTGTGGGACCTCACCCAATATCATATCCTAGAAATACACACTTCATATTTACTATGACTTACATATGAGAGTTGTCATAATGAACTAGTTGATCTGTTATGTTTTTGAAAACATTTATAAAAATGGAACTTTAGATTTTATAGCTTTCTTTTTGTATTTTGGAGTCAATTATGTTTTTAAGTCTCAAATATGTGAAAAGCTGTAGGCCCTGGTTCGTAATGGGATAAAGGCCCTAATATAGTTCTTCCTCACACTGACTATATAGTATAGTCATGCTGAACTTCATTTTTGCTAGTAATCTGTGTCAAGACCATCACATGAATTGTTTCCAGCTTGTCTGAAACCACACATGTATTTTACAGGTGTGGTCATTCCGAGCTTGATATGAATGTTTTTGTTTTGTTTGTTTTTAGATCCGGGGATTTCTGTCAAGATTTGATAATGTCCTTCCTGTCAGCCTGGCATTTGACAAATGTACAGCTTGTTCTTCCAAAGTAAGTCATTCTGCATTTAAAGGACTTGTCTTTTAAAATAAGCCCATCAGCCTTACCGATCAGAGGCATTCAAACCAACTGAGGGCTTTCTGGGGAAGAGGTGAGAGTCTAAAAAACCAGAAAGGAGTTTTCAGTTATATGTGTTCATTCTCAGAGTAACCAGCCTGAGACAATTTAATTTATAGTGTATGTGTATAGAGAGAGACGGAATTAGATATTTTAGTTCTGTATCAGTACTTGGATCTGGTAATTTTGGCTTGAACTTGATCTTCTACTAGTCTTTGTTCTCCCCCAGAGGCTTCCTCCCTCCCATTGACTATCATAGAGCAACGTTTTTTTCCTTTTGTCTCAACTTTTTTTTTTTTTAAATTGAATTTGAAGGGGTGACATTGGTTCACAAAACCATATAGGTTTCAAGTGTACTACTCAATAAAACACCATCTGCTCACTGCACCATGCATCATTGCCCCAAGCAAAGTCTTTTCTGTCCCCATCCCACCTCCACCTACCCCCACCCCACTTTCCCTCTGGCTATTACCACACTGTTGTCTGTGCCTGTGTGTTACATCATAGAGCAACTTTTAAGTGTTTCTCAGAGAATGGCGGATACTGGGCAGCCTGGTGGTGTGTGTTTTGGAGAGCTATATAATGACAAGGAAGAGTAAATGGAAATTAGGGGCCTGGAAGGCGAGCCAATAAAAGTTCAGCTTTGATCTTTCCAGAGGCTCTAAAAATAGAGCTGGTATGTCCTCCATTGTAATAGGAAACGGCTGATATATCTCAAAACTACAGTGATGGCATCTCATTTTTAAATAGGCTTTGAGGTAGTCTGAGTTATTTTTACATGTATGCTGTGTGTTATAGCTAATTTCCTTTTGAATGTCTCTTTAAGCCTCTAATATCCAATGATTTAACTTATGATTTTTTAAATAAAACTTTCACATTCAGGTATTATACAAAATAGTGTTGGGGTCATTAATCCCAAACTCTGGCCTCTCAGTTGTAATTTGGGACTTCTTTGCTGAGTAGCCTACATCTGGCAGTATAGAAGGGATTAAGTTCTAGAGAAATTCTCTCCACTCTGAGTTGACAGACCTTCTTTGAAAACTTCATTTGGGTCATATCTTACGAGAAGAACAATCCTGACCAGTTTCTCTAAAAAGTTAACTCAGATTTGACAACAGTGTTGATAAATTTGGTTCATTTTAGGTGCTCAGAAAATTAGAGTAACTTTTTTCTTCAAATGTAAACTAAGCTCCTGCTTTATCAAGTGTCTGTGTTGAGATTTAAAGCATACCATTTGTCAGTAGTTACTCATGAGCACATTCTTTCTGTAGTTTCTTTAAGGTATCATATCTGCTCAAGTCAAGACTACAGGGATGTCTGTGTGTGCGTCTGTCTTCAGAAATGCAAGTTTTAGGATTATATGCTTTTTAATGGAGCACATTTCTTTTCTTTGAATGACTGAGCTAATTGGTCTCAAAATAATTTGGCAATAGTATTAATTTTCATACAGAAATCATTTGGCACTGGTGCCAGTTCTGTGGCTTTATATAGATCTGGCTAATCAATGAAATAAAGATAATTGGGCTCTCTAAATGAAATGCAAACATTCATTCTTTCTTGTTCTATTTCTAATTAAGTTAGCTCCTGAGATACTGTTTATAAAAGAATCACAAGCATACCAGCTAACTGAGGTCCCTTATATTTTCTGAGAGAATAGCTTTGCATTTTGTTTTCACACTTATTGTAAGCATTGCATTAAATATATGTACCACTTTTTTGTTAGCAAATTGTTTCCTTTGGTGGTCATTCTTAGAGCCCTACTTTGCATAAACATGCTGGACGATTTAATACAAACTGACTTGGATTTTAACAGCTGTGCTATTCCCATAGCGATCACTTTTCATGTGGTCAGGTATTAAATTTCTTTTGTGCTGGAAAGGTTGCTTCATTGGTACACGTATTTCCTTACAGTAGAAACACAGCATTTACTTACTCGGCTAACTTCTTTATTCGCATGGGAGAACGTCATTCTCTATTATCTGCAAACCCAACATTAATACATGGAAATGACAGATCCAATTACGTTTTCGTCTTTGTGCATGTGAATTTTTCTTAATGCATAGTTAGCATAATATTTTTATACTGAGTCATATAATAGTTGTTATTGTTTCAAAAAGATTTTCGGGGGCTAAAAATGACTTTTGAAAAATTCTCCTTTGACATCTATGAAGTAATTTTTTCCTTTGGTAGTTTTCAGGTTTTTTTCCCCCTAGAACTGAGGCTATACTTATCTTGATTTAACCACAAATACAGAAAGATTGGGGAGGTGAATAAGCTCAGCTAAATAATAATGTTCTTGTTTGTGTGTGTGTGTGTGTGTGTGTGTGTGTGTGTGTGTGTGTGTGTACACCTTTTATAAGGCCTGAGGTGTGGAAGAACACAGTTCTCTGCTTCCATGGCAGGGAAGGTGGAATCATCTACACGTAAATCATTCTTACCCTGTTTGATCGTAGCTTGGCAGATAGCCAGGTGAATTGTTCTGTCTTAGAGAAAAGCTATTGAAGAATCTGGAGGGAGGGGAATGGTGAGGAGTTACTTTCATTCCAATTTCTGTTGATTACCTTATAAGACTTTCTAAAATGACAGCATTGATCACTGGGACTTCAAAAAACCCTATTGGAAGGTACATGTGTTGTTTTTTAGTTCTAAAAAGGAATTTAGAGCCAACTAGAGCTTTGTGGAATTACTACCCGAGGAAAAAGTATCATTTTGAAACAAATATGTGTATTCTTGTTATTAGCCTTTCACCTGAATATTTGGGGGGGGGGGGGGGGAGTTAGGGGGTTTTATTTATTTTGGTGGGTTTTTTTATAATTTTCTATTTTGATGTAATTTTAAGTTGCAAGAATAGTACAAGGAATTCCTGTATAACCTTTACCCAGATTCACCAATTGTTTACCTTTTCCCCTGTTTGTGCGTGTGGGCTCTCTTCCTCCCTGCTCCTCCACTCTCCTGTCTCTTAAAACTTTGAGAGTAAGTTGGAGACATTGTGGTCATTTACAATTACATACTTCAGTGTATTTCCTAAGAACAAGGGTATTCTCTTACCTAAACACAATAATCTTATCAAATTCAGGCAATTTAATGTTTATATAATACTATTCTCTAATCCACAGTCTATATTTCAAAATGTTGCTATTTGAACCAGTAGTGTCTTTTATAGGTTTTCCCTCCTAGACCAGGATCTGATTCAGCATCAAGCAATTGCATTTAATTGTCATGTCTCTTTGGCTCTCTCAACCTAGAAAAGTTTCTTAGCCTTTCTTTGTCTTTGTTAACTTCAATATTCTGATATTTTGCCAGTTATTTTGTAGAATTTACCTCAATTTGGATTTGCCTAATGTTTTCTTATGATTAGGTTCAGGTTCTGATTTTTTGGCAGGAATACCAGAGAAGTGATGATGCATCCTCGTGTTAGGAGGCACATGATGTTAACCCCTTCGGTGAAGTTAATTTCCCCCTTTCTATATTTATAACTGACATCCCCAACAGTGAGAAACCTGACTCCCATTACCCTGGATATTTACTTGTTCAAGACTAGATTACACAGAAATTAGTTTCAAAATTTCTATCCCATATTACTGCAAAAAGGAAACCTACTTACTAGAGTTTAATTGTGCATGGTTCTTTTTTTCTAGGTGAAATTTATATACAGTGAGAATTCTATAAGTTTTGACAAATGTATCCACACCCGTGTAACCTACATTTCAATCAAGACATTGAACAGCCCTAGCCAGTTTGTGTATAGAGCATCGGCCTGCGGACCAAAGGGTCCCAGGTTTGATTCCAGTCAAGGACACGTACCTTGGTTGTAGGCTCTTCCATGGCCTGGGCCCTGGTCAGGGCTCATACAGAAGGCAGCCAATCTATGTGTTTCTCTCACATCAGTGTTTCTCTGTCTTTCCCTCTCTTCCACTCTCCCTAAAAAATTGGAAAAATATCCTCGGGTGAGGATTAAAAACAACAACAAAGACATTGAATATTTTTATTACACCAGAAGATTCCCTGTACCCCTTCCCAGTCAGTCTTGGGGGTGAAGGGCAGTATATTGAATATTGTGACCATT